TAGAGCACCATTAGAAAGAAACAACAACTAATATATAACTTCCCTTTTTAATATCTTACCAAATCATCTGTATTTCCCCCCAAATATTTGTCTCCATTTTTTCCCTTCTGCTGTCAACATGTGCCACCATCGCTTCAATGTGAGTCTGCTGGGGGTCAGTGATCGTCAGAGTAGACTGGGAAAAAGAAAGTGTGCGGAAAATCTCAACAGAAAAACAGCTTTAAAATTATATAAAGGAACAGCAAAATCAGTGAAGATAGATGTGAGCTGTATCCAAGTAAACGTGGGAGCCTTTCCTCCTGGGCTTCAGAACGGGACTCTGCCATCTCTCAGCTGTGTGCTCTAGAGCACTTTCCTAACCGACCCAGCGCTAGCTTCTCAACTAACTAAAATGAGGACCACGATTCCTTTACAGAGAGTAATTTTGAGAATTAAATTGCTGATTATAGAGTCAAATACTTAACTAAGTATAGGTCCTATTATTAGCAGTAATCGTAGAATCTCCTTCAATGAAAGATTGTCTCTTACGATGATTTGAAGCAGGGTTGCCAGCAGTGGCTGCTTGGTTTCTGCCTGGAAACCCTCTCCTTTACATCTGCTTCACAGAGTGTAACCAGCTTTCCAGAGAAGGGCCTGGTGAAAGGCACGCTTCGATTGTATAGACTTCAAGAGCCTCTGTGATTACTTACCGTTTGGGGCTTTAAAACTATCATTAAAGAACTATGTTCTTTTTCCATTGATATTGAGAGGCTAAGTTGGGTCAGAGTTTAGAAATGGAATTTAGTTTCTGGTTTTGCCATGTACTTACTGGGTAAATGTACCCATTTTCCTATAAATATAATATAACTTCCCAAAGTATTACATTTTACTAGGAGAATTGCTATTTTGATGCAGTGCGATACTATTGTTGTTCTTCCAGAAGAATGTGTATTTCATTATATTAGTTATATGTGTTATGTAGCCAGGCTATCACTGAGCTCATCTGTTCCGACACATGTAAATGTAATCTTCTTGATTCATTCTTTGCACAGGGAATCATTACATTTAATATTAGTGCAAGCCCAAGTGGGAAGAGAATGCTTTGAAAATGATGATGGCGGCGTATGTGCAAATGTGCTTGACACATTGGAGGAATTTATGGATTGTGATAAGAGATGTAAAAGCCCCCAATAAAAGTATTTTAAAAAATATTAGAGTAAGCCGACTTTAAATTACTCAGACTTTCCTCCCTCACAGGGAGAAGCAATGGCTTCTAATGTTACCAGTATAAATATCTGTACGGGAATTCCAAGAGAGAGATGAACTCGGGTTAACAGCATTTCTCCTCTACCCAACAGGAAAGTTTTGGCACGTGACGGACTTACACCTAGATCCTACTTACCACCTCATCGATGACCACACCAAAGTGTGCGCTTCATCCAAAGGGGAAAGCGCCTCCAACCCTGGCCCTTTTGGAGATGTTCTGTGTGATTCTCCCTATCGACTAATTTTGTCATCATTTGATTTCATTAAAAATTCAGGACAGGAAGCATCGTTCATGATATGGACAGGGTAAGTGGGCAGATAACCAGCACGACTCAATTTTTCTCTACTGGGCTCTGAAGCCCTACATAAAATTAATTAAGTTTGGAGAATTATTTGGGCTAAAGACCCTAGATAAAATTAATTAGCCTTAAGTAGAGATAAGAAAAAATGGAAAAGCTCAGGTGGTTTTATGGAGTACAGACTTCTGAAATATGTCAACGTTTACTAAAGGATGCATTAATAAACAGTGCACTTTGGTATCCATGTTTTGAGGTTTTGATTAATGTGATGACAGTTTTGGTTAAAAAAGAAACACTGAAGACAACAGTAGGAGTTAATCTGTGAAGGCAATTTTGTAAAACGTCATTTTCGGCTGGTGTAATGAACAAATGCCACCCATCTGGCAGCGTGAAGAGTCCTATCTATCTAGTGTTGTAGCGAACACAGAGTGCTTGCCTTATACGAGGCCCTGTGTGAATGAACTTCTGCAGGGCCGCTGCTCCCGTCACCTTTGCAATAGCTGTTAGCTTCCCATTGTGCCTACAGAGAAGGAAGTGGAGGAAAGGGGGGCAGAAGGCATCTGTCCTACTTGTCCAGGGCTACGTAGCTAGGGAAAGTGGCAAAGCTGGGATTTGCATCTGGATATTTTGACTTTGATCTCTGTGCTCTTAATTACTATAGTTTTTGAGTGTGGCTTCTCATAAGTCTTTAGTAAGGCACTGAAGCAGGCTGACATTTCCAGTGTTTCTTATGTATCACAAGTTGTTGATTTTCTTCTTTGTATGATCCTTTCTGGGGGAGTGGGAGCGAGGTGCAGAAGAGTACTTTATCACCTCTTAAAGAAGAGGCTTTCTACGCCCATCATGAACCCACAGAGGCAGGTCTACCCCAGCCTGTGGGGTGGCTGTGCCTCAGCGGCAACTTGCTGGCAGTGAGTTTGGAGTTTGGGGTTTAACTATTATTTGCTGCTTTATCATCGAAGTGTGTCATGTCGTGACAAAGCTTCATGAGTAAGCTTTATAGGAACTGACTTTGTTCTCTCTGATTCTCGCTTTCCAGGGACAGCCCGCCTCACGTTCCAGTGAAAGAACTCTCCACAGACACAGTCATAAGTGTGATTGCTAATATGACAGCCACTGTCCAGAGTCTCCTTCCACATCTCCAGGTTTTCCCCGCACTGGGGAATCATGACTATTGGCCACAGGTACTTTTGACCCCGACTTCCAGAAGTATGCCAAGGATTTCCCCTGTCGTAGTGTCAACATTATGGCAATAACACACCAACAATCCTGGGTGGGAGGGGGGCTTATGGAGAGAGCATTTAAAGCGAGTCTTTTGGTATTTTACAAAAAAAAAAAATGTCAATGGTGAGTTTTCAGAAGTAAATTACCTGGTTTGCAGATTACTTTCTGCTTTCTTTCATATTTTTCCTTCTTTTCTACCCGCTATTGATTTCTCCTCACGGGAACCCAAGTGTGCAGAGTAGAACTGAGCTAAATAGGAGCCTTAAGGCTGTGAACTTTTGTAACCCAAAGGTCAGACCTTATTTCTGAAGCACCTGTGGGTGAGTTTGAACTGCCAAACTTTTGTTTAGTAGCTCATTGCTTTAACCATGTGTGCCACCCGGGCACATAAAGAGGCCCAGTAAGTGGGGTAATAGTTACTGTGCCTTCTCCATATGTTATGGAATCATTCAGTAATGATACAAGGTATGTTTTATTTTAATGTCTTTGAGGCTACTATGTTTCATTTTGCCTTTATCTATGTTTTATTTTTATGCAGTCAAATATTTTAGTCAATTAAAACTATAGATGCTAACTTCTATATTATATATTATTACCATATATCTCAAGTATAAGTTGACCAGAATATCCGCTGAGGCACCTAATTTTACCACAAAAACTGCATTGAAAATGTGCTGAAAAACTCAGCTTATACTCGAGTATATAGGTATATCTATGGCTAGGGTAAAGCTAATACACCTTAAACATTTAATTTTTTCCCTTTCTAATCTATCCCTTTATATTCAAAGATCCTCTTTCCATTATTCTCCTCACTACAGTTTCAAAAATATCAAATGTAAAATGAAAGTCTCTAAAATAAATTCTTCTGGAGACTGAAATCTGAGATCTGACTCTGATGGATGTTAGGAGCAAATCCACTTCATAAATATGATTCCTCCACTCTGTACCATGGCTACATAAACATAACAGACACACAGCCCCACCCATTACGTCAGGAGAGGTAGGTAGGTATTAGTGTGGGCAGGCCAGGGATACCTTGCTATTGCCACCCAAGGAGCTGTCATGCTCAGGGTCCTTATTTACTCCTGTACTGCCCAGACTGGTGTCACCCAATATATGGGCGTTACCCCTCACTTCCTGGCAGGGGACATGTCGCCGTGAAAAAAGGATTGAGGCACAATGCACAGCTGATAGAAGATGGGTGTTGAACAGGTCTGGGGTTTAGAATCATTTCCGGAGGGGGCTAGCTGCCTCTAGACAAGTCATCTAACTTCTCTGGTGTTCATTTTTTTCGTAGGATGTCTAGCGTGATTTGTGTATAAGTTTAAGATGCTACATGACAATATCAGTATCTTGTTATTTTATATTGCTGTCAGTTATTGTCACCATTTCTTAATCAGATTGACCTAAGCCTCTATTTAATTCTCAGGCCAATTTGATCCATGATACAAACTAAATATGTATTCTGGGTGATTGGTTCTGATAAAAATAAATGGTTTGTTTATTACTTGACCTGAGTGTATACATATGTTTTCACTGTAGGTTTGGCCATTAGGAAAATCACCTTAAACTAGTGGGTCTTTGGTGTTATCTTAGAAAATAATTGTTTTCATTAGTGTTGACAAGAAAACGCCTCTAAGGAGTAGATCTCCAGCAGCAGTACACAGAAGGAAATGAGAGTAGAGAAAAGGATTTCAGTTCTTAAATATAATTTTTAAAATAATAGAATGAATTACCTTTACCAGTTTCATAAATG